TATAATTTATTTCTATTCTACTCTCTAATGAGAATGTATATAGACTGCCAACATTAGTAGTTTCCTCATCTCCATGGTCTGTAAAATCAAGAAAGGTCAGTGTTGTGAGGTCCATCACATTGTTTCTAGCCATGTATGGAGTGTCCAATTTTTGCTGGATTGCAACTGGGCCACCCTAAGTAAAATTAGGCTTGGTCCTATATTTGTAAGCCAACAATTAGGGCTTGACCACATGGCTCCATTTTCACCGTTATTATATTATATTCTGACCCTTATGATTCTTCATGGAAGAGATGTTCCAGTTTTGAGGGGAGCGCATGATAATAGCTTGAAATATTCCTAAAACACTTCTCACACTACAATGTGGGAGTGGAAGCTCCTCAGGAGGAACTGGCTTTCAGGTGGAAGAGGGTTGTTGTTTTTTTTTTTAATCTGCCAGTGTTTCCTATATAAAGGCATCATACAATTCTCACAGAACAATCTTTCCTCCACACTGAAGCCCAGAAGGCTACCCTTTGCAATTTTTATGAGTAGTTTTCATTTATACCGTGCCCTGTGTGTTTGTCTCTTCTCCCCTTCTGCCATATCAGGTTCTTCCTTTTGCTGTCTGTTTTCTGCATTATAGTGCCTTAGAAAGCTTCATACCACTGACCCATAATGCTCAAAGATACTGAACTCCATATTCTGCACAGCTGTTCAAAGCAAATAAAAAAAATGGGCCTCAGCATGCCCATGTTTTGTGAGAACAAAACAAAATCCCAAACCCAGAGCTTTTATTACTCTGTGTGTGTGTGTGTGTGTGTGTGTGTGTATCTATATCTATATCTATCTATCTATCTATCTACTATCTATCTATCTATCTATCTATCTATCTATCTATCTATCTATCTATCTATCTATCTATCTATCTATCTATCTATCTATCTATCTATCTATCTATCTATCTATCTATCTATCTATCTAAAAGTCTGTGAGAGAGCATGGAAGTACCAAAAATTGCCCAGATGTTTTAGCCATAGGTTCATAGCCATCTGCTAGGAAATGAAGTCATAAAACGGAGCATACAGGTTTGATGAATCACTCATAGGGGGGCAAATATCAGATTAACATCTATTAAGATGGAGAAAAAATTGTGGGTCCGCATCTCTGAACATACCAGGTTACTGGCAAGTTGGATGCCTCTTGCCTGTGGCAGAACATGTTCCCAACTTCTACTGTGTGCCGCCTTAGAAATCTGTACATTTTGCCCAAGGCAAGAGACGACCTCTGAGCTGTGAGCAGCCTTGCATTTTCATAGATGGGGATCTGCCTTTTCTTCTCCACCCCTACAGACATCGCAGCAATGTTATCTGGTGCTTGTACTAGTGACACATCAAGTCTCATTCCTCCATTTTAGGGCTTAGCTGGTCTGTGCATCTCATGGCTGAAACATCCAGCCAAACTTTGAGACTTCCAGACTCCTTCCCACCCAGCTTGATGAATGGCTCTGGAGAACTCAAAAGCTTAAACCTGGCTATAGTATTAGGGTTGGTCTGCAGAACGTTTTTGCCTGCCTTTAGATCTTGTCTTCTGTCATATTTTTGTTGTTTATCTGTTCTAAAGGAAGAACTTAACTATCTTGTTCTTCAACATACATAGTTCTGTAATTGTTCCAGGGAACACATTTGTCTCTCTTCATGCAGATCATTAACTTAGCATAAAATAAAACCCTTAGTGCACAAAAATACAGAGGGAATCCCAGCAAGAGATTCTCTCTGTGTTTACTTATGCGCGTTTCTGTAAATGTAAGAGGCAGAGGTGGAAAATTCAAGATGGAAAAGAAGGAGTCAACTGAACTAAAATACTTTCCTTGCTTCCTTCCTGCCACATTGATTTTCTGTCCAGTGTGTTTTTCTGTTTAGCAGCTCATTTGTCATTCTGCCAGTGGGTGGTATTTAGGATGATTATGAAAAGGTAGGTGAGTTATCAGTTTTCTGCTTATGTTACAGCATTATGAAAACTTTATTAGAAGACTGCAGTGTGGGCTTAAGAAGAGGAAGTTGCTCCTAGCTGATGTCTTACTCTCAGTTTGTCATTGTCGGGGCTTGCTCTGAGGTTCTTTCCCTCCAGTCCCGATGGCCCAAAGCCTTGTTTATGCCATAAGAGGCAAGTAATGTTTTGACTTCTTAACACCATCCTGGAACCAGCATTACCCCATTAGTGCCACATGTTCCTGGAGGCAACTGACATATGGCATGCAGCTGAACCAACTCTGTACTTCTTGGGTCTGGCAAGTCCTGTCAGCAAGGGCCTGACAAGCAGTAGCCTACGCCAGTAGACTACTCCTTCGTCTCATTTGGTCCTGGAGGTTCTAAACCCTCCTTCAAAGATGATCTCTCCAGGGAGTGTATGAAAAGCACACGGGTAGACGGCTTTAGAGGGAAGTCCCTGCACCAGCATAGGAGACAATGATCTAAAATTATGTCCCATACAGGGACAATTATGACTAAAGAGGAACTGATAGCCCACTGGTTCAGGAAAATAGTTTCTTTCCGTAGCTTTGATAAGTCAAACTGTGAGAAAGGATAGCTCAGTGGTTTAGATATCTGACTGTGAAACCAGAGGTTGGGAGTTTGATTCCCAATTAGGCCTCCTTGATAGGGGCTGGACTTTATGATCCATAAGGTTTCTTCCATCTCTGCAGTTCTAAGATTATTATTATAAGGCATGGGCTATTGCCAGAAGGAAAAAGGCAACCAAATTACTGGGTTTCAAAAAGCCAAATTACTGTTACTATATTCCTGTTGTCATTCAAAGTTTTTTTTAATGGTTGCTAAAGCTATTTATACATCGCCATTGAAAGATTCTCTCTGAATAACCCCTCAAACTTTGTCCTTCAACTGCATCTCATACTCAGAATGTGTCAGGAGAAGTGTGGTCCATCTTTCCATGCTGTAGCACAACAATTTGTTGAAGGAATGCTGATTTTGTCACTTCACTGCAGGTCTGCTTCCTCAGTCTTATGCATTTTCTACTAAACATATTCACTAAGGATTTATTACCACCAGAATGATGGAGTAAATTGTCCTTCTTATATGCTCAGTCACTGGTGTTATTCAGGTACCTAACATATTTATTAGAGAAAATTCTCCATGGTGAGAAAGCTGGTTATTTAAAAATAAGTGTAATTGCAAGATGTGAACCCAGAATTACAAAACAACATTAAAGTCAAGAAGAAGTTGGGATCATGCATATAACAAATATTTAAATACATTTATTTAGACCTAAAAGTGCCACATTTGCATTCCAGTCCTGCACTTGTGCATTGATAGGCTCCCCCACAAGCACAATATCTTGGTTCTTGAGATTAGCTAGTAGTGATCATCCCGTTTGGCACACAATTTTTCCACATCTAAAAAATGATAAAGTGCTGTCCTGTGGTCCCTGAGGCCCCAGGAAACTGTGGATCTCCCACTCTGAGTGGAACTTCAGAGATAGAGTTCCAGCTTTGAAGGGGAAGATTTAACTTGCATCTCCCACTCTATCATCACATAAGGTCCACAGCCCTTATCCTTCTAACCTCACAACACTTTTGTCAGACATGGGGGCAAGGAAAAAATTCAAGACCACAGCAGGGATGGAATGTGGGAAACTCTGATCCAACCTAGGCATGCAAATCCTTGCTTCTTTCATTCTCAGACTTGTAAACAAGGAACTCCAAAATGACTCTCCGCCACGTAGAAAAGGACAAAGTATTGTGTGATGCTCTCAGGATGAGAAGAAAACAAGATTGTTGTTTTGTGTGGGCTTTTTTTGCACAAAATAAAACTGAAAAAAAGAGAATAAGGCAATACTTGAATGCAAACGATGTTAGTGAGAATGACTACAGCATGGTCATTTAAGGATCAGAAGCAACAAGAGGGCTGTTTACATCTTATTTGACAGCCAGTCATTCTATGTTTGTGCATTTTTCTACTATAAAGCAAAGACACCGCCTTATGTAGGGACAGTTTGATCAAATTACTGAGGCATTTCAAAAAACCAAACAAAAGCAAACAAAAACACAACAGCATTCTTTGTCTTGCTTTAAATGAGAGGAGTTTTGCAGGCTGAAATAAGAGATATTTGGTGAAGTCAAAACAACCAAAATAAATAAGAATGAGGAATTTAGTGAGTATTCTTTCCACCTCTAATCCAGGAGAAACTTGGGCAGTCCTGAAACAAGTATAATGTCCCTCCTATTATGAGTAATGGTGGTAAAATAGTTTTATTTTTAAAACAAAAACATAGGAAGGACAATGAATGTCTATACCTCCCTCAGTTCCTATGGGGCCTGTAAAGATGTGGGATATGTGAAGTATTTCTGTTAAGTACTAACTTGATAATATAGCATATCTTACAATTGGGGGCCTTATCACAATGTTGTTCATTTCGCTATTTCACAGTATCAGTATCAATCATGTAATATTACTCAGCCCCAGCAAGGGAGAGCTGCATATGGAAGCAGGGTTCTGTTGATGCAGATTAGATAGATAGATAGATAGATAGATAGATAGATAGATAGACAGACAGACAGACAGACAGACAGACAGACAGACAGACAGACAGATGTGCACATGCTCACACATATACAATTACATCATAGGATTGCAATATAATGATGTATAAATCCCTTCCATTAAAAAGACATAAAAAGAAAATCAGTATACAGTATTATGTGGAGCTGATGATAGTGCTATATATATATTTCCAGAGTTCCATAGCTGACTTCACATGTTTTAAATTCAGATCAGAATCTTGATAATATGAGTCAGCTCTTTTTAAAAATCAACAACAAAGTCACAAGAAAATGAGTAACACAGCAAAGTATAATTTAATTTACAAACTAGATTAAAACTGCTGTATCCACCAAAGACATAAGCATTCATTTCATGAATCTGACATCCTGTCTGATCATAGTGCAGGTTTGCAAATGGAAGATAATGGCATAATGAAATGCCCTCAGGACAGTTTGCACTTACTGCTGACATGATGAGCTCTCCACCTAAATTCTGGATCTCAGCTTTAACTTGGCTGCAGATTTTGAGCTGATGGGAATACAGTTTGATTTGTTCCAGATAAGCCAATAAATCCTGCTTACACGACTGATCCGGACACTGAAAAAGTAAAAATAATACTTTTAATAAATTTGCTTTACTATGCTAATAATCTTAATAGTTTGTGTTGCAAAGAAGAATTTGAGGTGAGCTTAAGAGTATGCATGCATTCTATGGTGGGATTTTGACATTTCCCCCCTTGTAAAGCATACATCAGTGTTATGTAACAACCTGGATGAAGTTTCCTGAGTTCTTTTTTTTAAAGTTGTTATACAAGGAAGGGAAAGGATAGCAAAAATGAAAGGTTCAAATTTGTTCTAGTGCGATGGTTCCCAAACTTGGGTCCCCAGATGTTCTTGGACTACAACTTCCAGAAATCCTGGCTAGCATAGCTGGTGGTGAAGGTTTCTGGGACTTTTAGTCCACTAATGTCTGAGAACACTTTATTCTTAAAGTGGAGACAATACTAGATCTCTTTATGTTCCGTTCCTTGGAACACTTGAAAACAGTACTCCAGACTGTTTGTTTGTCCTTTGTACCCTTGTCAGTCTAGCTACTTGATAACACTGTGATAATTTACCAAGAAATATATGGATGGATAACTAGTGTTTAATTAATTGATTAATTATATTTGGGGTAGGGCTTATGTAGTCGTATGGTTACAGTATCCAATTAGGACTTTAGGACCGTTGAGACCTGGATTCAGATCTTTGCTAAATCATGAGTTCATGGAGAATCTTTGGCTAATCAGGGTATCTTAGCTTAATGAACCTAGTAAGTTGCTGAGAGGACAAAGGAGAGGGCAAGAATGCTCCATTAACTCCAACCTGAGATCAGAGATAGCAGAGGTGTTCTTCACGCAAAGGGAGGCATCAAACACCATGCCTCTGTCTGCCCAGAGATGGTGAAATGAATAACTGAAAGCAGCGGGACTGGATAACATCAGATAAGATGGTGTGGATTGGCTCTTCATCTCCCTGTGATACCATACAACCCAGCAGTTTGTCCTCTGGGACTAATATAGTCACCCACTGTGGCGATCCCCTCTGAAGCAGCTATTCCCTCAGGTCTTCATGAGGTTCTCGCCCTTCTTCTTTCTTCGCTGCAACCAGGTATTGCTGCTTCAATACCATTCAATCAAGGAGACACGTGTGCTTTTAAAACTTAAGTTATTTATTAGATCAGGGAAGTTCATATAGGATTATTACTCAATAGGTAAATCACAGGTTGCTAATCACTTGTATCTAAGTCAATCCTACTTTAACTTTAAATCTCTATTAACTCTCTGTTCCATTCAGTGTTCTTACAGGCCTCTAATTCACTCTAAGTTCACTTTGAAGTTTCAGACTGTCTCTCACTCAGAGAATCTCCCCTCATATTCCATCCACCAGCCTTTATATCCAGCCCCCTCCCCCCTTGGCTCCACCTTCCGTCCACTCATTGGCTCCTACTCCACTGTTCTGCTGAGACGTACAGGTGAGGGCAGGGCTATTTGCTACACGCACATCTGCTTTAGTCAAGGGGCGTAATCAAGGGGTGCATGTATATGAAAATACTTGTATTTTAAAAACTATGAGTGCACAAATATGTATGCATTTTTTGAAGGGCAGGGTGGAGAGAATTGGAAGAAAAGAGCTTGGTGGCTGAAAAATAAGAACTCTGATAACATCCAGCTTTACACATGTGCCCATTGGTACACAATACATACAAAAGATGACAGTTCCTGTTCTCTTGTGTGTCCTCCTTTCATTCAGTCAATAGGTCAGATTATTTTGTGAGAGAACAGGTCAGGCGAAAACCTACAGGCTGGTTTTTAGTGACTTCCAGTAATATCTCAGGGATTTACAAATGCAATTAATGTTTTAACCTAGTTGACTTTCATTAGTACATGTACTAAGTGACAGAATTATGATCCAAAGCAATATCATGCAATGACTAACCACTGTGCATTTCTTGACAGCAGAATAAGAAGAATAGCAAAAAGAGAAGACGACAGACAACAGCTCAACAACCTTTTCAGTCCAATATGATGCTTGAAGGCAGGCGTTCTGCTCTTGCACATGGAATGGTCACTCTAAGATAAGCTTAGAGAACTGTCCAGAGGAAACATATAAACCAGTGTAAAGTTTCACCTGGACTCCTGTTTATGGTCTTCGTGATTGGTTGGATAGCCATGGATTTAGTGTTGCCTGGGTAGGTAAGAAATATGCATTGATTTCTCTGGATACCTTTAATTTTCTATTTCCTGGCACAGGATGTTTGGAACAGCTATCCAGACTGATAATATGCTGTTTCCACAATACAGATCCATATAATTCTCTCTCTCTCTCTCTCTCTCTCTCTCTCTCTCTCTCTCTCTCTCTGTGTGTGTGTGTGTGTGTGTGTGTTAGAGAGTAGTTACTTAGAGGGAAATACTTCTATCTGCAGGAATAATTCCTGTGGGGGGGAGGGAATGGAGAGGATTATGTTATAGTCACTCTTTGTGAATATAACCTGCAGGTAGGAATTTTTATATTAAAAAAAAAAACAAGAACAACTCATTGCATTACTAGTATGATGGAAGCCATATGATCAAGTGTACTGCACCTTTCTCACCTGTTGCATGGTGATTCAGCATTTCAGAAAAATAGAGGGTTCCCTCTAGGGGCAAATTTTGATATGGCATCCTAAAATACTTAAAAATGCAAAAGACAAAATGAAACAATATGTCCTTTGCCATTTAGGACTAAGTGAAAAAAAAAATCCTGCAAAATTGCCTTAAAATTAGCTATAAATATTATATATTAGAGAAAAAGGAACTTTACAACTATTATTCACATTGATGTTACAATGTACTTCATTTGCACTCACATTACCCCTGAAGTATGTAATTGTTTCTTAGAAACTGGGGCTAGAGGAAGATAGGCAGAAATAAATATTACCAAAAAAAGATAGCGGATTACAATTCTCTACTTCCAACATTTCTGGCCTTTCCCCAGACTGACTGACAGAACAGGAGTTAAATTTCAACTTTTGGAGAGCCAGAGATTTGCCACTCTTTAGTAAAACTAAAAATAAATTACGTATAGTTTCCTGACGCCCCACACCCACACATGTTAGCTGCCCAGAGTAGTGTATGATCATTAGATAGGCAGGATGGATGGATGGACGGACGGACGGACGGACGGACGGATGGACAGAGGAAGACAGCCAGACAGCCATATTAGTATAATTAGATTATTCAAAATGTTGAAAGTTGCTCACGCCTACAGAAAGGTGACATAAGCATAAATAAAAGAAAACTCTTATCATACATCAACAAAGTTTTGCTTTACTTGTTTTACGCTAATAAATTTGCCAAAGAGGCAAAATTACTGATTGTACTAATAACAGAAACAGCAGTGTACTGCCGATCAGAGACAAAATATAACACACTTAAGCCAACTGAAATAAAATAGGCTGAATTGTAACCCACAGCATTAATTTTCCATGGGTTCTTGTCAAATGGCAGGCATACAAGCTCAAATATTCAGATAATTACCGTAATACCATGAATTTGATCATCATTGTCACATAGTATGATTTAACCTTTTTATCATCCCCTCATAGCCTTTTGTGGCAGTTTCCTGATAATCAGCAAAATTAATATTAATGAAGACATAAATGCCTTAATTACACTTTCCTTTTAAGTCCCTGGCTTGTACAGCACAGGCATGTACACAGAAAGTGCGTTATTACAGCTGCTTGGATGATCATCTTTTGTATTACTTGCTAACAGTCCATGATAACTACTTGATTTTGCCTCATTGGAACACAACAACTACAGATTTTCCTTACAAAAGCTTCTGGAGTGGCATTTGAAACAACTTTTTTGTTAGGGATATGACAAGAACTTGCAAAATTCCTCATTCCTGTTGATTTTCTGAGTCATGTCACAGTGAAACTCCCCAATAAGACTCCCCCTCTGTACTAGCAAGATTTCTAAACCTCCTGTCTTCCCTTAATTTGTTTATATTTTGTCCTTCTGTACAGGAAACTGCCAGATTCTCCACAATATAATGCCCTGCCTAGTGAATCACGTGTAGGAAAGATATCATTCTGAACAGGAACTGTAATAATCATGCACAGAATGGCATTTCATCGAGAGAGAGAAGAGGAGATGATAAAAATTCTGAAAAATCCCACATTATTTTCGGAAAGGGAGGTGAATATTATGCAGATAAAACTCACTATAAGAGAAGAGAGGTGGAGGGTTTTTCCCCCAGGTTCTGTCAGAGGCCCAAAATTGACAACCCAAATTTGCACAGTGCTTGTATGTGACAAATAAGGTCACTGGCACTTCTAAATTTGGGCAGAGATAAATTGCTGGGAGAATTGAGAAGATAATGAAGGTAAAGTACCTGAAGGTACAATTGTTCTCTGTGGGAGTCTGATGCAGAATTAGCCCTGGTTTGCTGTAGAAGTTGATTTGCTGTCCCTCTACTTTGCTTAATTATATGCAAATATAGTAGGCAACTACTGTCAAGAAATCACATTTCTCACTCACCCCCAACTAAGAAAAGTAAAACCAGTGGAGGTGCATTTGAATTCTTATCACTTGGACACAGAATATTGTGTTAGGTATAAAAGGAAACATTTTATTTATTTCTTGTGGAGTATTCTTATATTGCATGTTGCAAACATTTGCAAAGGAGACGGGTTTTTAAAAAGTTTTCCTTGACATTTAGAACACATCTGAAATCTTAAAATGAGGGTCAAAATGGTGTATAAAATGGGTACAAAACTGTCTTAAAATGTCCCTTAAATGAAACTTTTGAAAGCAATGTCTGATAATACCTGGATTCATATACCGTTGGCCATGACCTCGGCTGTGAAGGAAAGAGGTTTTATTGACATAAAACAATCAACAAAGTGTTAGCAGATTTATGGCTCAAGATTAGAGATGGGCATGAACCAGCAAAATGGTGGTTCATTGAAGTCCACGAACCATGAATTTCTGAATTTCCCCCCAATGAATCACAAATCAGTTTGTTGGTTCATCAGCCCTACAAAAGGGCTCAACCAGGCACCTAGAGACACTGCTACTGCCCCGTTGCCTCTCTACCTTTTGCAGCTGCTACCTCCTCTTCTGTCACTGTTGCCATCTTGAAAGACAGCCTTGTATTTGCATTCGTTGAGGTTGCCATGCTCAATGAACATGAATAGATGAATTAGCATTTTTGATGAATTTTTCAATTCATTGCTTTGTGTCCATCTCTAGACAAGATTTGGCGGTATGCTTTGGGTTCCCAAGCCACTGAAACTTGGACTATCTTCTCCACCTCCTCATGAAAATATCTGAGATGCCGTCAAATCATGCACCAGAGAGTCTCTCCACCATTTAGAGAAGGGTTTGAGGGGTGAATGCAGGCTGCAGGAAAGATTCCAGTTTCTGGCAAAAAGCAACAGCAGCCAACAGAAGTACTCTGTGGAATTTGGGCTATAATTTTTAGTGTAACATGAATTCATTTGGCTGGTTGCCTTGCTGCATGCCTGTTTCTTTAACCAGAAATGAGCCATAATGTTGTTTTTCCTGTATATTTTCCGGAATGAACCCTGCTAAAGTGAATAACCCATAAGATATAGTTAATGTTGAGTCACAACATATCCCCCACTCACTCCCCCCAGCAACACCCTGCATGGCCTAAATCAAATAGTTTCACAGTTCTCCCATTTTGATGAGCCGAGATTGCATGCAGCCTGACCGAAACTCATTCATTTGAAACTGCTCTACTTTATGAACTGGAAAAGGTCAAAGAGATGCAACAATGAGTCTTCATTACACAGTGATTGCTTTTTTCAGCTGCTCCTTGCTTTAGAAGGCAGAAAACGCACGGGGAGGGGGCAGAAGAGTGGTTTGTTTTCCTTACTTGCATGTGATTTAGGATTCTGAATTCTCTCTTGTACATGATCATCAAGGTGTTGACTGGACTGGCGGTATCAAGATAATAGAGCTGTGCTCCATTAGATATTGTGAATGATGAACACATGTGTTCCAATGAAGTGACATTACTAGATGTAACAAGAGGGAGTCTAAATGATTAAGTTATTCCCAGGTTCAGCAGCTGGGGGGAAAACTATGAAGAATATGTCTTCAAAATTTAAAATTAGGACAATATGAAGGCCTCAATCCAATGATGTGCACACTATTGGTCAGGCTGCATGTGCATATCTGGGGCACAGCATCAGCAGTAATGTCAACTTGTTCCAGCTCCCTACTCTCTGCTCCTAAACTGATGCTACTGTCAGTTTTCAGATACTCCTAACAGTTGGATCAGGAGAGGAATCACTCATATGCAGTACCTTTTGTGTACATGGTTTTGCAACTAGGTAAGGTCAAACGTATGCATGCACATACTCCCTAACCGGAGTGCTGCAAATACTGCTTGAAAACCATTGTACTAAAAGTCTGAGGACAGAAGTAGACTCAAGTGTTTAAGTTGAGCATCTCCATCTGCATGGAAGGACAAGGAACCTCACCCTGCAAAAGGTAGTTTGATGCACTCTCAATAAGAGAAGAAACTTTTTTTTGGGTGCAAAGTAAGCCACGTTGCACAAATGGCACAAATTACAGAAAATGACAATGGCCACTGCTTTGTTGTATTGACTTTGAAGAAAATGAAGCACTGGAAGGGTTGTTGTCATTGTTTTTAACAATGGGCCAATTATTTTGTGCTTGCCATATCTGTTTGTTTTGCGTCTTAAAGGGAAAGAGCACCAGTTTTGTGCAAAGACAGTCTGTGTGGATTGTGGAAGCAGTGATGAGGTAAAACCAGGACTCCCTGTCTTGCACTTGTTTGGAAGCACAGCATCTTATGGGGGCTGAAAAGACCTCTTCCAGGTGTCTCATGGATTCAAGGCAGCCAAAGTCAATGTGAATGAAGAATTTAGTCAGTATTCTTTACACCCTTAGGAGCAGTTAACTACTTTGATATCAAAATTAGCACAGGAGTGTGAGGGGTCAAATATGCTTGCTCCCCCAACTTGGCCCTGTTGCCCAGTTTGAGCCACCCATCTCCAACTTGTTAACATTCAGAATCAAAATGGATCCAGGAAAAAAAATGATACAGCTCTGCATAGTGTGGTAAGGTGAGGGAATGGGCATGTTTTGATTCTACACTTCCTTGTGTACTTCTAAAAATAATAGACCCCCTCTCCCAACTTTATAGACAAATAGTACAGTGTATGTCTAATTCTCATGAACAGTCTGGCCCTTTCTAGTTTTGAGTTTAACTTGAATGTGTATAAATGTAGTACAATTGCTGCTCTAAATGATCAGAAATTAACACATGGACTCCTCCCTTTCATTTGTTCATCAGAAACACACTTCCAATCTATAATTTCCAATACGGGACTGATAGCATGCCTGTGAAATGACAGGTATTTTACAAAGGCAGTTGCAGAATTCAAAGGCAATTTTACCACAGTAGTTTCGGTAGGTTGCAAAATAATGAACTGGCCTAAGTATTCGTGGTTTGCTCTGCGACAGGTTTGCCAGACGTGACAACTCCTACATGTTCATCTAATACAGAAAATAAACTCTGGACAATGACAGGGCCACAACTATAGAAAGTAGAAAACTACTTTCATAGTAGCAGTTTTTGATAAACAACATTATTTTATTTAACCCACTAATGTGTTAACTTACCTGGTTTGAAATGAGTCTTGCAAGCATGTCCATTCTTGACCCTGACTCTGAGATCATTTTTGCTGCATTAATCACATCCGAGGTATTCTTCAGTGGACCTCTACCCCTTTAATAAATAAAATGGAAGATATAATAAATTACTGTACAGGACAAAACATGAGAAGATAATTTTGAATGCAGACACCTCTGGGAGTGACACCAAACCTTATTTGAGTTTTAATATCATATATTCATGGTTCCCCTTAGCACAGCTGGGTTTCTTTGCATGTTTAATTGGGCTCTTATCTCATCCTTTTCTATCCCTGGCCACCAATAATCTGTGGTCTGAATACAAATACCTTATAAAGTTTTCAGAAAGCACAACCTTCTCAATGTTTAACCATACAATCTTAATATTTCAGTTGCTGGTAGAACTGTGGAGGTGTGTACACTAGCCCAGGAAGAACAGATCAAATCAGTCCATACAGATGGAGTACTTGTTTCTCTATATCATGTCATATTTTCCAGATAAATTAAATCAGAATCAACAGTGGGAAAGAGTGATTAAAAACTTTCTGTTTGTTTTTTCAAACTACCTCCTTTAAGTTGCTTTGACTTTTCACTTGGTACTGAAGATGGAATTCAAGAAGCAAAACTTACCAAGTTGGAAATGTTCAATTTAGCATGCATCTAATAAAACAAAGTCTAGTAGAAAATATCATTTCCAAAGTACTTCCTCAACATTTTCAAAACAGACATTTTTAAAGACATCAGATTCAGGAGACTGACAGTGGATGTTTGTTTCCAAGGGTTCCCATCAAAAAAATTCAATTTCGCACTGAGTTGCTTAAAAAACACACAACATTCTAGCAGAGCAGATTATTTTTCAAGTGCTTCTTCAAGCTTTTTGAAATATTTTTGAAATGTTTCTTGAAGCGGGGCTGATTTCTTAAAGAGAAGAGATTCTGTAAGAATATGTGTGGACAGAACTTCCACTGAGATCCATGCTTAATAGGCATTGTGATGGATGCCCCACGTCACGCCTGTCACTCATAGCTGGAGCTCATTTGCATAAGCCCATGAGAGGACAGGAGGGGTGGAGGCAGGGAGTCAAGTCATTTAGAGAGAGAGAGAGAAGAGGAGGAGAGAGGTTTGCAGAGAGAGGGAGAGAGACAGTCAGAGAAAGTGTGAGAACTGAAACTAATAAAGTTGGTTAAAGTGAATAAATAAAACAGGAGGTGATTGAATGTGTGGCAGAATATATGATATTTCAATGATTTTGATTCTATGAAATGAATAAAGAACATCTGTGATCCTGATTTAACCTAATTATCCTAATATCCTTTAATGAACAAGTTCTGTTGTTGGCAGCCTGTGTCAGACTAAAGTCCTTTTCAGTGTAGATAAAGAAATCCCCTGGTGGCAGCGAAAGAAAGAGGGAACATCACCAGCGTGAGCCCTTTGGGTTGAGAAAAAGAAACAGGGACACGGGGTGAACGTAACAAGCATTAAATAGCACCAACTGGCAAAATGTATGGAACAAATTCTCCAGCTGGGTGACCCCTCAGTTCACATGATAACACGCAAAAATGAAATCCCTTAAACGTCCCTTCTAAATGCCATTGAACAAAATTCTCCTGTGTATTTATGCCAGTGTAACACACAGTGTAATATTTGGAGACTATTTGCCTCATATTAAGAGTCAGCATGCAAATATCAGTGGCCCCCAACCTTTTTAACACCACGAATTATTTGGGGAAGGCGTGGCACCCTCCCGTGCTCACACACATGCGTGAAGGGGCGGGCTCGCATGGGCTCGTGCACACTTGCACGCATGCACAATGCATGCATGCGCAAAGGATGGGGGTACTCACATGGGTGTGCACACATGCATGAAGGGGTGAGGTTGATCATGCAGGTGCACATGCACTTGCGCACATGAGTGAAGGGGCTGTGTGGGGAGGAGTGCATATGGGGTGAGTGGGAAATCTGTCTCCACATCCCGGTCCGGCCCAGACCATGGACTGGCACCGGGTGCAGACCAGGGGTTGGGGACCCCTACAATAGTGCACATGCCGCACATGAGTGAAGGGGCTGTGTGGGGAGGAGTGCATATGGGGTGAGTGGGAAATCTGTCTCCACATCCCGGTCCGGCCCAGACCATGGACTGGCACCGGGTGCAGACCAGACCATGGGGACCCCTACAATAGATGATTTTACACTTATTTTTTAAATTAAGGTAATTTGCCCCAAAATTAATGCCAAGAAATAAGACCTCATGTAACATTTTTAATTCTTAACTTTAATTTAGCCTCCTTTACTCCCTTCAAAGTTTGCAGTCTACCCTGGGCAAGAACCTCTGTATCTTGGACTTAGTGGTAAGGTCAGGTTTCAGGCTGCTTTGCAAAGTCTCAGGGATTTGCTCAACTTCTCTGGGTCATCGGTTGTAGGGAACAATTCTCAAGGTGAGTGGTGCTGAAGGAAGCAAAGGTTTATTATTGCCTGTGGTGGCTTTAATGCCTAGGTATCCATAATCTCTCTCCTCCCAACTGATATGAATTAATACAACCAACTCTTATCAGTTCTCAGGGGTTCAAGTGTGAATGTGTTCTATGTCTGTTGTGCATGCCACATTTATTCACAAGGTCCACATAAGTCCACATTGCTTTTCGAACTCTCTCATTCTCACACTTTTAATTTGCTATTGTGATACAAGACTACACCTTTGGGACATCACAGAGACTGGCGCCCTGCTCTCAGGTTCTCACTTTGAAATCTTTGGGAACAGGAAGCTGCTGACCTGGCAACTTCAGGCTTCAGTCAGGCTTCTGGTAGGTTCAAAAGAAGCACAAAAATGCTCACATTCCTAGGGTAGCTGGTTCCAGGGTAGTGGCTAGAATGCTGGACTAGGAATCTAGAGATCTCCCCTGCTGATGAAACAAAGTGGGAAGCCTTGGGCCAGTCACAGTCAATCTGAACAGCCCCACAGGGCTGTTGTGAAGAAAAAATGGGGAGGAGGAGAGAGATGGACATTGTCTTGAACTCATCATTCGAAAAGGAGGATAAACATATAAGCATGATAATGTAACAAATGCATTCATATTGAAGAAATGTTTGTAATACATTCACTACTCTCTTGGGAGTTGAACGGCAGCACTTAAATGTGGAATGAAGGAAGGAAACTAAGATCTTCCTATAGTTGTCTTTCTCATTGTTGGACTCTGTTTCATATTTTCATCCAAGACAGATTTTCCTACATTCCTAGCCACAAAGTAATGACTTTGAGTACCATATTTTTTAACAAATAAAAAAGTACATTTTCTACTAAGTACCATATTGCCTCAGAATATTCTAGTAAGATACTGTATTACCCTTAGATTTGCATGTTTCCATCTATTTGTTTTTAAAATGTCTTTGAAATTGTCATATTGCAAATACAGCTTCAAAACTCCTAAAATATTCAGAACAGATGGATGCCACGTAGGATGTTCAATAAAACAATTCTCATATCCCTATTTTTTTTATAAAGAAAATTGTGATAAGGCCAACTTTGAGCTAATATGTATTGGCATAAAAAGCTAGAGGGAAGCCAGAAAAGTCTTAACCATATTCATTTTAAATCAAGGTCATGAGGAGGAGGGGGGGAAATCTGACATTGTTAAGGACATATTGAAATAAGAGAACTGTTGGATAGCTTAGTGGTTTAAGTATCTGGCTGTGGAGCCAGAGGTTGGGAGTTTGATTCCCCATTGTGCCTCCGTGACAAGGGCAGGACTCGATAATCCTACCAGCTCTGCAGTTCTAAAATTTTAAATCTTTCAGCAAACAAGATTATGCAATTTTTGTCTTATATTTAACTGTAAGTATATCTCATCTGTTGAGATCTTGAGAAGGAAGCACAGTTGTGCTGGCACAACGCAAAAACCAAAATCTGTACCAAGTGATGTCTTAAGTCAACCAGTGATGCAGTATTAAATTTAGAAGTGCAGATGCTCATCATCATAGTCTCTCCCAGCCAGAAAGAGAGTCCAAAAATGCAGACAACTATGTCATCAAATGAGACAAAGACATTTTGTAAAGCTAATAGTTCTTCATTGCCCATTCCAATCCAAACCACCCTCAAACACTTTGCATCACAGCACACATAGCTTGCAACAATCCAGTGTTCCCAGGAAAATCTATTTTTCTACCAGTTATTATGGGGATTCTGCAAAAAAAAGTATGGAGGCGTTTGAGATCAATGTTCTTTGGCAGGCAAGGTATTCCACAACTAAGCAAAGGGAAGGATAGGATGATGTGGAAAGCTTGCTCTAATAAGTAGTTGCAAACTGCTCACTGTTTTGGGATATATATAACAAGGAGGCAGAAAACAGATCTGCCATGCCAGATGGGGCAATGGTGTTCAGTTTCAGCCCACAGACCTATAGGAAGTAATTGTGCAGAAGCAGTAAGATTACACAGGAAATTGCTATCTCGAAACAGACCGTCGTGACTCACCTATTTGATGCATACAGGCTGAAATCCAGTAGTAAAGTGCAGTTAGAGTAGGACTACTGAATCAATGGAACATCCAGAGATGTTTCATCAAATAACCACTGATTTAATGGGTCTACTCTAGCTGCACCTTACTACTGGATTGCAGCCATCGACAAATTGTCCTCACCTTCCAGGTTATTGCCTGAAGTAGTCACTTCACTTCACCTAACTCTTCCTTGTTTGTGTTGCCTTCCTCTCTTTTTCGCTCCCTTACAGGCGTATTTGTACTTTGCTGCAAAAGAATGCCCAGTTCTATCTTCTGGTTGCCTCTCAAGAATCCAGCATTACCTACAAGGCCTTCTACATGAAAATTCAATGTTTCCAAAAATAAATAAATAAATAAATAAAAAATCTCCAGTTTATGAATGTGGGTCATTGTGCTTTAATATCCACAATTCAAAATTCCAGGAAATGGCCTGACTGCTGTACAATATTGTGCCTGCATTGCCAGCAGGGAAAAGGATGTCAAGCTTTACATAGCAAAGGGCAGCTTGAATGTGGACACCACCAATAGCAATGGTCAAGATGAGCTACAGGATATCCTCTCATGCTTACTACCATTTACAAAGAGACAGCAAGCAGAGGGTAATA